TCAACGAAGACCTCTAATCAATATAATATGTGAACAGTTTAAATATTCTTGAATGAAAAAGATCATTTATTAAATGATTTAAAGTTTTCAACAGTTTTCAAAATGTATAAGAACTTTTGTTTGAATGTGATCGAATAGTTTCACAGTATTTAAGCGCCATGTCGATACGAGACATTAAATAGGAAGAATGTATTTATAAAATCTCAATGAATAAATTTGAAGTAAATCTAATGTTTCAGCTGACAATCTTTGAAAAAGCTTGAAACAGATTGCCAAACAAAACGTTGAATTTACTTCAAATTCATTCGCTAATATTTTACAAAGATATTTTTCTTCTTTTAGTTTTTAAATTGTTTCTGATTAATTTCATACTAGTGAAATAAAATTTTTGTAGAATAATTTAACATTACTAATAAGTTCATAATTGACCTTTGTTATTGTAACAACAAACTCAATTAGAAAGAAAGTTGAATAAGTTTTGTAAGCAATGATGGATACTGGCTAGCAGTGGAATTTAGGACTCACGTTTCGTCCTGTTTGGGACTCTTCAGCTGGATGCACCTGAATCTCTGAGTTGATGTTCACTCTGGGACTCGAACCCAGTACCATTCACTTCAAACGCCATAGCGTTGTCCACTCAACTACTGAGTCCTGATAGCCACTTGTTTGTGCAATGGGGTGAATATAAATTCACTTGGTATTGTTTGGCTGATCAATTGCAGTCTTAAACCTCAATGGGAAGATACAAGCCAAACAATACCAAGTGAATTTAGAAAGTTGAGTAGTTTAGTTGTATAACTTATTATAATTACAATAGGACGAAACGATCATCCAGTACTTCCAGGATCTCCATGATAGTCTGGATTCAATTGACTCATGATCACAACCATTGAAATTATTATAATATTCCCAAAAACCCCTTCTCTTATTATAATTTGCTTGTTTAAAATCAAATTTCTAATAATTTTCTTATTCTAAAATATAGTTTTTTAAAATCAGAAAAAAATTCTTTCTTTTTATAGAAAAAAATAATCTGAATATTATACTCGATTGAATTTTCATATTTCACTAGTACAAACAAGCATAAAGACAAATGTTGGTTATTTTCTAATCCATATTCTTATGTGTAACACACTTCTAGTGGTTAGTAGGATTTCAAGAGACATTTTATTGATTTATTAAATTTTATACATATTTCTGTTAATATTCAATTGATAAATGAATAACAAATGGATATTCTAACTGAGCGTACATACTCAGAACTATATATATATATATATATATATATATATATACGACAGTATTGCCTTGAGAATGAATTCAATGAAAATAAGCCATTTTCTGGATATGTGTGCTACTGATGTCGACAGATATCAGTAGTATGTATCAGCAGTCGAAAGTGGAATGCCTAGTGGCAGAATATTGAGAAGATTGAAGAGAAGAGAACAAAAATAGAAAGTGATTGATATGAAAATGAAGAAACAATAAAGTCTGAGGTCATTGATGGATATTTTGTAAATGAAATATTTACTATATGGTTCTTAGATTTGATCAAGATATTCTGTAATTTATACGAATATTCGTCAATATTAAAACGAATAGTTTGATAAAAATTGGTCACCGAATATAGGAAAGTCATTATATGTGAAAATTATATTTGAAATTATCTAAGCGATTGAAATTGAAATAATTTCATCGTTTCATCTAGTAAACTTGTCTACTCTGAAGAAGTCCAGGCAAGTTATCTAGACGAAACGTTGGAAATCAGTTCAAATATAATTCTCATATATAATATTATGTAATGTTGTATCAGTGAACAAATAATTGTTCTCTGCCTGTGTTCTTGTTCACTACAATATTACATGACTTAAAGAGTGTATTCTGACGAATTATTATTATTTTTTTGTTTTTAAAATCAATTTTAATGTTTAGGTGTATCGTTACGGATAAAGTAATTTATAGTTTTTGTTTTATTCTTTTATTGTTTAATTACTTAAAAGATGTTTTATTATTAGTGAATCATTTAAATTTAATTTTGATAAAAATGTTGTAGAAATTACATGAAATAAATGCAATTTTATGATGAAATTTAAGTACTGATATACATTGAACTCTTAGATAAATATGATCGTTTTGTAATTGGTAGACATTTTAATAGCAGTACAGTTAAGATGATTAAAGAATTTTCAAGAAAAATTTTTTGGCTTTAGATCCTGATCAGGCAACAGTTTCTTTGTAATGAGAGGTTACCAGCACTTATGGTTATTTGTGGTTTCCTACTCGGTAAGGGAAATATCATATAATTCCAATTCGCCCGTAACGAATACTCAGAAACTGTATAAATCCTGATATAGTGATAATCAAGTGGCAGTAAAATAAGCTTACTCCTATCGGAAATTTAAGGGATACCTAGTTCTAATCTACTAAAGTTAGAAAATTTGTGGATTATGCTTATATTTCAGAACGTTTTCATGTAAGCTAAAGTACTGATAACTGTTTAGTAATTTTATGATTCTTTTTAGTGATTCATATTAGCTGAAAAAAAGTCATCTCATTGTAAAATCTAGGAAGTTGTCTTGTAGAAGTCTTGTTTCATGTGTACTTTAACCTTTGATAAGACCCTAGAAATGGTTTATTTGTTTTCCAGGCAACTTTTGATTGATTAATTTTCTCCTTGTTTGGAATTACTTATTGGTTTGTTGGTTTAACTGTTGTTTTCAAAATGATATGAACTGCAGTGTACATTACTCTAATCTCATATTTTCCCTCCTTATTTATCACTATTTGATAAACGGTAGATCATTGATGTCGGAGCACGTAAGTATTATGAAAATATTGCAGACTAATATGCCACTGGAGTCAGATCGTTTTATTCAATCTGTAAAAGAAATAGAAATGTAAATATTTACTTGAGAATTTCAACTTAACAAAATATTATATCCTGTCGTTGATAATATTCGTTTTTATATATTAGTTTATTGAAAAGAACTGTGGAATACTTCCAATTCATGATGATGATGAGAGAAATAGTTCAAATATGAAATTGTCAAGTTCGAAAAAAAAGATCAGTATAAATTGGAATTCATTTTAGTTGATCACTGATGTTAAGGTAACAATAAAGTTTAATCATTCAAAGCGTTATGCTATTTTTATGTATTTTGAAGGTAGCAACATTGTTTAGTTCTTGACAACTTCAAAATAGAATAAATTATTTGATGTTGCTTAGATTTTATTGTAAGAAATCGTATTCAGTCTAATAAAGTAATGGAAATATCAACCAATTCAAGTTATTTATTTATTTATAAATTCTCGGACGAACTTCTTGAAACAGTTATTTAGTGTTTTCATTTAGAAATAACAATGGTCATAGACTGAATAAGAAATAAAATAAGATCTAACGTTTTCATATATGATGATAAGATTTTATTCGTTCTATTTCCCTAATGAAATCCACAGTGCTAATCTAGGAATTCATTCACAAATTAAAAGACACTTTACATAAAATGAATATATATGTCACATTGACTATTTGTATACATTTTGCTAATTCGATACATCATGATATCGTACTTTTGTTGAATAACCTTACGTCTATCCAACTGCTTCAATTTATCCACAAAAATAATGTATATCTCAATCTTTTGAGTGTCATTTGTGTATTTGCCAGTGATGTGTTTGTATTGAAAATGATTTTTAGTGATTTTACATCTAGCCGAACAGTCACATATTTATATTAGTTCATAAACTAATGGGAACTAGTAATAATTGGAAAGATAATACCTTCACACATATAACTACTCACAAATGTCCATATTTTCTAACTATTTATGTCTTATGACGTGTATCAGATAAGTGATTTCTTCTATTGAATTTACAGAACTTTTCGACAGTTGCAATTTCTGAGGTCAAATAAATTTGGAGTGTAAGTGGTTGACCATTGATGATACTAAGCGATAATTATAATTAAGAGACAACCGATTAAATTCGGAATACATTACGTACTGGGTTCTCATTCAATCTTCATAAGACCAATTGATCCTAGGTTTGGTTTCTTGTGGGTCACAAGATTCCCCAAGGCTCATGGCTAATGTCAGTTATTCCTAAAGGAATATGTTGTTAAGATAATCCATTTTAATGAAAACATTTTCTAAATGTTTGTATTTTAACAAGTAAGATTTTATTAACATTCTTTTATTTAAACTGAAAACTTACTATTTAATTGTGTAACTAACAGGATTTTGCTCATTTTTGATTACTGAGAAATTGAATTCTTTAGTTCAGTGCATTCGTGGTAACATTTAATTCTGTTTTAATTAAAATAACATGAATACTAAATCCTGAATTATAAAACAGATGACCAAGGAATAACTTTCCCACAGTTATTGAATTAAAATATTAATTCCAATCATTTTCATTAAATCTCAGGGATGATATGATAGATAATCTGGTTGAACATCACTTCTTAATTTATAAAGATGAAAAAGAAAATCAGTTATCAACCAGAGAATTCTCCCAAATTAAAGATGTGATTTGAAATGAATTATCAGGTAATAATCTTCAAGAAACTTGTATATGAGATTCAAGTCCTATATCTTAGTTTTTTAATTTCTTTAATCTTCATTGAAAATGTTAGCACACAATGGAAATATTAGTTTAGGGTTGTGGAGATCGCTGAGTTTAGATTGAGATCATGAATGGATCAATGCTAGTCTACCGGTGAGAACCTGGAGGCACTGGACGACTATTTCGTCCCAGTATAGGATTCATCGGCAGTGAGCATCCACGAGGTTAATCGTTTTCACCCGAAACCGAAGGTTCCGGGTCCGAATCCATCATACGGGATCATGGAGGCGCATTACTGAGGAGTTTTATACTAGGACTAAATGGTCGTTCAATGCTTTCAGGTCTTCAGTGGTGATATAACATTGATCCATTCATGATTTCAATCAAAATGAAAGTAAAAAACTACAAAATCCTTTACTATGTTTTTCTTTTCATAGTTTAAGATGATACATAACATCGCATCAAGTTGAAATTAACTCGGTCAGTAATGGATTTTGAAACCAAACCAAATATGAATGAGAATCAGCAGCCTCAATCGGTACAATCATCATCGTCACCGAATGTAGATAATTCATCCTTAGACCATCCAAACTCTCACCCAACTGTAAATCATGTTATTCATGAAGAAAATGGGAATGATGATGAAGGGAGATATACTCATGATGAAATCCATCTAAATAATCATCACAATCATAGTAATCCGTTGACCGCTGGTAGTAAAGTTTGTGGAGCTGCATTTAATACCATGCCAATTTATGATCCACAAGGCAGCTTAGTTGGTCTACAAGCATCAACAGATAGAAATTTGTTGGAAGATTTCGATAACGAAGGAAGAAATGAACCTCTTGGGTATAGTACATATTTAGAATCTGGTTTTCACCATCATCATCTTCATAATCAGTATAATTTGGCTCTTCAACAAAATGCAAATATGGTTCCAGGTGAATATAATTTACCATATGGAGCATATGCTTTTAAATCTCAAAATCGTCATTTGTTTACACCGCTACCATGTCAACAGCAACAACAACAACAACAACAATATCACCAACCAAATTATTCTTTTCTCCATAACTATCAACAAGCACAATACCAGCAACCACAGAATCATCAACAAACCCATTACGTTCACCAGTATCAACCTCAAGCAGCTAAGACACTTCTAGTTAGGTCTGCTTCAGGCATCATTGGCATAGATCAAAATAACCATAATAATCCTGATGCGTTTAGACCATTATCTGATGAAACATTTGACAAATGTCCTATAGTTTGTAGTCTATTCGCCATATTGTGTTGTCCAATTACCATATGGTGTTCATTACCAGCGTTAGTTTATTCGCTATGTGCCTATAGTGATTATCGTGCCTCAGATATTATTCAGTATAGACGTAAGAGTGATATCTCAAGGCATTTAGTGATTACAGCATGTATAGTTGGTTTATTATTATGTATAACATGGGCAACTTTAACATTCTTTTACTATGAATTAATGTTATCAGTATTTAATGATATTATACGTGTAATTTTCCAGAGAATACGATCCGGTATATAAAAGTATGTCAATTTAAGAAATCATAAAATAATGCAAATATTTCTCATGCTCTTTTGTTTTTCGTTTAATTTAATTCATATTTACTAAACTTTTTCAGTTTCCAAGTCGCATGAAAGCAAGCTATTGTATTTTATGAAAATGTTAGTTTCCGAATATAATGATTTTAAATAAAAAATTCAAGAAAATGAATGGTCATATTTACTAAAGGCATTTCATATGTTTTTATGTATTGATATGGTGAATTACGTATTTAGTCTGCAATTTAGCGCGTAACAGTTTTGCGGAAAGACGTTACAATCGAAATGAGCTGGAGCGTCACCTAAAACAGAGCATTCTAATCTGTCTTCCTACGGCTGAATAGCTCACTAACTTGTCTTCAAGCTGAAGTTCACAGTCACTGAACAAGTTTACTCGACTTTCCATCGCCTATGAAATGAAACTATAGTTTGTGAAGCATCCATGATGCTCTGAAACGGTATTTATGTCTAATGCAATAGAAGTGAAGTTACTGTACGTCATGAGTGATCAAGATTGAAGTAAACTAAATTACTGTTGAGTATCACTGTTCTTAGTTTTAGACTAGTGAGGAGTAGTGAGCATTTAGTGGCCTTATATGTGACTCCTGGTAGATTGTTTCTGCTTGTTATCGAAGTATACATATTGCCAATCCTCGTATATAATCATCGACTTCGATCGCGTTGATGAATAACGGAATTAATTTAGTCAAATCGAAAATGTATTACGAATACGTATATTTCATACAATCGTTGATTCAAACAAATGATCGAACAAACTAAACAGATCGAAGAAGTCATGTAAGCCAACTAGATTAAGTCAAGTGTGAATCGATATTTGTATTCAGACAAAAATAAGGTACAGACATGTAATGAGTAGGATAAGAAATGCACACACATACGCTTACATAAAACATTTACGGTTGACGAGTGAATAAGTGACAGGATATAAATGTAGCTTGAATAGAATGAATAGATTGATCTGCCCAGAGGTTAGAATGACTTATGTAGGTTTGAAATGGCACCAGCCACTACAAGCAATCTTTACAAAAGGTCTTGAAAGTAGAATGAAACATCGTCAAATACTACTCTATTTACTATTATAGTTTCACTAATATTCATTTGCGATAAAATTAACTTTGAATTCAGGTCTATTAAGTTGAATAGAAAACAAATTTGCTCGAAAACTACTTGACAGTTTTGAATCGAAGTAATTTGAGGGTCCAGGAAAGATGTCACAGTTATTCGGAACGCAGGCCGTTGAAGTATGATGAATATCATTTTTGTCATCTAGTTTAACATTCGAAATCCAAATAGGTACACATCTACTTGATGACTATAAACAGTTAGAAATTTCTATAAATCAGGGCGGGATAAACTTTCGAAGGAACATCTAACCTCATCTACTTCTGGATTGAAATTTATAAAATGTTAAGAGATCCGAATACACCAGAGAGTAAATAATGGGTGGAAAGTTTTATCAAAGATTGTCATTAGGTCAGCAACCAGGGTGAGACATATGCAAATATATATACCACTTTATTTTGAGCATGTTAATCGATGGCGAGAAAGCCACGGTGGCAGGGGTGCGGATCAGCTAAGAGGAATTTAGTGGTTATTTCTTAGGCATACGGCTCAGATAACAACATATCGCATACCCACTCTGGTAGTCACACATTTTTATGCAGCTTGGTCAACCCCTGAGCGCATAGTGGTTTCTTTGTGGTTGATAATTAACACACTGAATGATCATAGCACAATTGACCTGTACGATTCCAGCGTGACAAAATTTCATCGCATGCATGCTTTATCAAAAACTACACAACCGACCTTTTTTGTCATTATCAGTAATGACAATATTACGTATAATGCTCCCCATATACTTAACTTACCACAATTATAACCTCTCTGGTAAGGAACAACTGGTTCACAAAAACTCATCGTGATACACAGAGTAAAAACAGTAAATTAATGAAAACATTATCAATAAATGATTAATCTGAGAAAAAAGAGCTAACAAAAGGAATCATTTCTCCAGTGGTCGTAAGTTATGTGTAAGGTATATCAGTTAATTGGCTAAATCAGTTGTTATCCCTGCAGTAAAAATGGAGGAAGGGTTTACTTTGAAATTGAAATGTTACGTTTACCAGAAATTAACTATTATCTTAACCGTTTCTGCTACGTAGTTGAATGATAAACGCAAGGAAACGACATAAAACATTCGGTGTCACCATTCGATCCGAAACAAGATTACGGCAGGTGTACGACACTGAGTTAATGGTTGTTCATTGTGGTCAACTACTGGCACAATTTCGGGGTAAGTAAGCAGTAGATGAAGAAATCCTCATTACTATGCTATAGGGCCAGCCAAGTCATCCGACCGGTTGGTCACTGAATGTCGAACAGTTCACTGGCCCTCATCAAAATCAAGAATAACCAACGTGTGGACTGGTCCATGAAGGAGAGGTCATACTCCGTTCATTGTGACTACTCTTAATGATGTATTACGTAATAACGTCGTTCGTGTCGTACGGTCATCAAAGCAACCATAGTACCTAAATACGAGGAAAGGGTGGTACATTTTAAATTTAAACTGTGAGATGTGATTTCGACGTTAGCTGGTTGGTCACACCACCCACTTCTAGCTCGATTAGGCATCCAATCATTCGACATAGATCATCTACACTGATGATCTTCGATACAATGTCAATCCTTGAAATGAAAGGGATTTATGAGGCCATTTATTCAAGAGTCCTGACAAATAAGCGGAATATTATGATCATCAAGCGGCCTGCTTGAGTACCCTGGCTATCTGTTTCTACCATCTAAATGTTTTGACAAATTATGTCTTGTATTTCGTTTTGACCTATCATTATGTCTATGGTCGCATAACTTATTCAAGTGCGTTTACGACCCATTGCTTTACAAGATACAAAAAACTACAACCGGAGACATCGTATGACTGGCAGTACACATTGAAAAGAATGAACACTAATCAACTTTCGACTGCTGCCGATCACCAGTTTGTAAGGTGAACTATCTTCAACAGTTATCGATTCTAAACAAATACAGCAACTGTAATGTGGCCACAATTCAAGAATCCTGGTTAACTGATTTACAGGACGATTGCTTAGTATCACTACGCGATTTCAATATCTATTGTCAGGATCGAGCAAACAAGAGAAGGAGGTGTGACGGCAGTATAGCCACGTTTGTAAACGTGAACTGGTGTTGGTCTACTTTTGAGTGTTTCAAGTTTTCAAATGACTTTATCGACTGTTTGACTTTAAGATGCCATACAAAACAATTGAATAAATACAAATGTGATTATGTTACCAACATCTGCATGACTTCAAGCTGCATGTCATCTGCACTATATGTTTTCTCATATAACTTCACTGAATTTCGTGTTACTGCCTTTAATGGTCACTTTCAGTTGGATGTGGTGACTTTAATTAAAATGACTGTAATTTTCTTTGATCACTGGGTCATCAAAATGTAATAGATTCTTCCACTAGTTTATATGTCCATTTAGACTTTGTTTTCATAAATTATGCGGAAATATATTTGACTCGTGGATTATGAAGACGTCAAAATATGGTGTGAAACATGGGACATATATTAGACATCTAGGATGCGGCTGGACGAACTAGACTTCACAGATGATCCAGCTCTTCTGTCGCACACACAAAAACAAATGCAGGAAAAAGTACTAGTGTGGCAGCAGCCTCAGCAGCAGTAGGTCTCAACATACACAAAGGGAAAAGCAAGATTTTCCGATACAACACAGCATGCACCAACTAAGTCGCACTTGGCGGAGAAGTCTGGGATGATTTAACGACCTTTATATATCTGGATTTCATCATTGACGAACACGCTGGATATGATGCAGATATGGAGGCACGGATCGGAAAATCAAGAACAGCATATTTACAACTGAAGAACATCTACAACTCAAAACAAATGTCAACCAACACCAAGGTCAGAATTTTCAACACAAATGTCAAAACAGTTCTACTGTATGGGGCGGAAACCCGGAGAACTACGAAAGCCATCATCCAGAAGATACAAGTGTGTACTAACAGTTGTCTACGCAAAATACCTCAGATCCGTTGGCCAGACACTATCAGCGACAACCTACTGTGAGAGAGAACAACCCAGATGCCAGTGGAGGAAGAAATCAGAAGGAAGCTCTGGAAGTGGATAGGCCACACATTGAGGAGAGCACTCAACTGAGCTACAAGGAGAAGTTGAGCAGGGCGTTTCCTCTCGTGACCTGGTGCGGATGCTTGACCGAGCGCCTTTAGCTAGGTGAGCCCATTAAAACTAATGTGGTCAGTATCATATGTCGAAGACTCACAAAGCTATTGATTTCGTGGAGTTATTTATCACTACAGGTTTCAAAACTTAACGTTCACTCAGAGGCTTCTATCTTAAGCACACTATACTGGTATGTGAAAACTATATAATGAACTTACTGGTAGTAATTACGTCAGAAACAATGGCGTGACGCAAATAATTCTTCTGCACATCAGTCATATAATGTCATACCTCCCATATCCATAGTTTTGCCGAATAAATGTGTCCCAATTTTCACTGGACCTAATGTCCGAAAATGTCTTTAATCATCTAACTCATTCCAATGCTTAGGACCTGATGAGATCTCAAACGTTATTTTTAAGACGTGTGCTAAAACATTAATCAGTACCAGTTTGCTTGTAAATGCAAAAGAAGCACCTTAAATGCTGCTGTTTTTCTTGATCGTAATATAGTGTTTAGTTTGGAAAAGGGTAGGAAGTATATTCGGGGCGCATCTCTGACT